GGAATGATAACCAGTAAAGGTAAACCTGCTCGTTGCAACTCTGCCAACCACAAATCTTGTGTGAACTACTGTGGAAATGAACCCAGGCCTCCATGACAAGATGCCTGGGATTGAGTTATGTTAAAGAATGTTTAATGACCTCAAAACAAACAAATGACTGGTGCAGCTAGATTACTACTAAGGCTTTGGTATTTATTCTGACACAACAAACATGGGTATTCCACAAACTAATTTCAATGAGAAAAGCAAAGATTATGGAAATCTTGTCATTCTGTGTGTTATTACACAACTCTGAAGTGATCCGTAGTAATTTCTGATGCAGGACAGAAACCCATTTCATCATACTCACTGAACAAGCTGGGTGTGAAAAATGAAAGTAAATATTACAATGTACATGCAGAGTCACTAACACAACCTACAGTTAGTCATACTGATATACAAATCACTTCACTTATTTTATAAATTGTTAGTGTAAAGTGTGTAGTATAATCACATAATACAGAGGTATCACCAATGTATCCATGTTTCATTATCTTCAAAACTATCAACAGATATGGATACAATTTGGTATATGAAAAGTAAACAAGACTTTTTGACTGATATCAGTCAAACACAATTGCAAATTTATATAACACTAGACTCTAATTTTTCCAATCTTCTCAAACAGGTCATTGTACAAAGCATGGTTGACATGCAAAACTTGTCAGATCACCATGCGCGTGCGCTCTCTCTCTCTCTGTCCCTTCCAACTGCTGACACAACTGACTGATTTTCATGAAACTTGGTATGAGCAGAATACAATTAAGACACCACCCCAACCCCGTACAACCTAAGTTTATACAATTAGTAATGTCAGCACGGCAGGCATAAGAAAGTGTGTGGAACTACTGCACTACTGGAGTTAGGCTTTCAAAATGTAAAAAGTATGCTATAAAAAGTTTAAACCATTTTTAAGAGCACCAATGATTACTCGAAGTACTCCCAAAAAGTCACCAGTTCATCAAACAGAAAGTGAGGCAGTGCTGCAAGTAACCACGAACAGTTATCTTTAAGTTGACTTCTGTAAATCTGTGTCAGCTATCATGTAAGAGTGATTTGTATTGAGAAACTGTACAGTTGACACCATATAATGCCAGTCTTGCACACTTGTAATATAAAGTAACACTAAAATTCAAGTCTTTCAGGTCTTCCCTGTCCACTATACATGAAATCTCACACATGACTATAACCCTCTATTCTGAATGAAACGTAAATATAGTTTTGTTTTACTGAACCTTCTTCTAGGCCATTGATTTTGCCCACTTGACCTTGCGTGTCACTGATTTCTTTTACTGTTTCTGACAACAAATTTATGTTCATTTCTGACTTTGTTATAGACTGTGACGGAAAACTGAAATTTGCATATGTAGGCCAAGCAAGTTTTTAGTATCTTCACTTCATTAGTGTTTTTAAATACTTCTTGCATTATACCAACACAGGGAGCATCATTCCTGTCAAATTCACTTACTAGAGGATAAAAGATTTTAGAGTTTTCTTCTGTACAATCCACAATGATATCCATCTACATTCCCCATTGAGTACTAATTGAAGTTGGAGGTAGTGGGGTGTCTGCAGTTTTGTTTTAAAAAATGTCTCTATTCCAGTTTGTGATTTCACAAAGATTTCCTTCCCAACTATTCTTTAACTTTTCTGAATTTGGATAAAGTATATGAATTGTTTCACAGATCTTGGGTAAAGCATGTGCTAAACATGTATCAGTTTAAGGTAGCCCACTGGAAGTCCTTCTGCTGCTTCTTTCATGCAGGATGTGGCAGCAGTAACTACCAACAACACATTACCAGATTTCACACCACAGCTTCATTGAAAACACATGCCATTGTTTTCTGATTCACTGCAGACATTTCCTGGCAGATTAAATTATTCCTCTGATAACACTTGATTTTTCAGAACCCCCATAACATTTGCAAACTTCTTTCCACTAAATTGGTTGTTCATCTATGGACACCAAAACATTTTTTTTTTCCTCGCAAAATACTAGAATCTTGTGCAGTGTTCCTTGGAAACACTTGAGTAGACAGTTTTTACTTTAAGTTGAGCCATATGAATTGCCTGACTGCTTCACAGTAAATTTCTGAAATTTAAAATATCATTTGTGCTCAGCACTTACATGAAATAATTGTAATAACTTGGTGCTTAAAGACCTGCAAAACTATTTTCTTTTTACCCAGAAATCCATTCACTATAAATCGCCATTATGAAACAGACACTCACCAAAGATATCCGTCTGACATGGCTACAAGCCTGAGAACCAGATGATGATCTGACAACAAACTTTGACCCATTCTTTCCTTCTTCCACTCCTACATCACGCCTGTCCACCAATTTTGGCAGACTTCTGCTGCGAGATAAAAGTCGAGCACCTATCATACTAATCACAATGTGTACGCTCACCTGAATTTATTAATTTGTTCAAAGTATGTGAAAATTTAAGTGACAATTTGATTCACAAATAGTTACACAAGCACAATGTAGTTAAAAACTATTGTACAGTTGCATGTTTCTACCAAAAATTAATAAAATGATATACCCATTAATTATTCGGATCTATAATTTCATCAATTTCATAGAACACTACACATAACAATAATCTGATTTCAACTGATTACAGAGTATTGTTTTAAAAAATGCTATCCTTTTTGTATTGTTGGTTTCACACTTTCCAAATTCTAAATGTTAATGCTCATAAATGATAGCTCACGATTAGCTGGTATAACTGATACAAAACTTATCTCAACACTATCAGTACCACAGATAACACTCTGAGCTCATATCAGGTAGAGTGCAGGCTCAAACCATAACACATATGGACAGAAATACTTGTACACCTACTCAGTGGGAAGAAAAGAATGAATACATACTTCCTGCCTCTTTACTTCCGGTTTGAATCCTCAAATACTCTCTTAAGTTTGCAATGCAATTTCTTGTAAGACCAAGCAAGGTGGCTAATGCAGGCATGATTCTGACTTTATTCGAAAGGTGTCTGGTTCAATTCTTGTGTCCAGGACACTAACTGTCTTGACTGAGATGTTTCATAACATACTTTAGTCTTTCCAGGCGAATGCCAGGATAGTATCTTAAATCAGGCCATGGCTTCTTTCTTACACATAAAGTAAAGCTATCCCCGTACTCCGTGAAGGCCCATAGGATTGTGAGACGTTGAGGGTCCCACATTGTCTAGAAAATTGGATCAAAGATGGTGGTACGGTTGTCAGCCCTACGCACCGGCCGCGCTTTACTCCCCAGGAAAATTATTTAATTAATTCCTGGTACTCATTTCTGTTAGAGGCTGACTAAACCCCAGGTCCTACTGCGGCTGGAAGGTTTAGGTCAACTGAAAAAAATCCAATGACCTCATCGGGACTTGAACCTGCGACCTTCTGGCTTGTAGCATACACATTCTTTCCAATTAAGTATTCAGTGCCACTGGATCATTTAATGCTATACAAACTGAGTTACTGACAGTGTCATTAAATAGACTGCAAATAAGTAGAAAAATATCCCATTGTTATGTATAACATTGGGTCCATCAAAACAGCAATGAACTGGACTGGTTATGATTTTAATAAAATCTATTGTTGTGTCCATAGCCCCAACACCACTGATCGAGGTACCTGACTGTTACATTTACATTTATATTTATTTTCACTTCATGGATCCAATCACCTCCCCATAGGGCTGGATACAAAACACATCACACATTGCAAATTCATGATGACTACACATCATACGTCCTTGGTGGTGAAGAATTCTGCACTATATTGTTGGTGTAACCTATCACTTCCATCTACAGGTGACTGGATTTAATTATACTGAGTTAACGAGTAACGTGAATCAGACACTTTACATGTGGATTTAATACCCTGTACAAAGTGTTTGTTAGTATGCTTCTTAGCCCTTCTGATGGTACGTGACATCAACATTCTGTCTGCCCCCCCAGTATACTGACGTTGTGAAAGATGTTGGATGGGGCTCTGGCACATTTTGACTGTGAAAGGTTGCAACAAATATCAATTTCTGGCCATTCGTGTACAGTTCACATTTCAAGTGTCAATGACACACGTGTACTTCACAAAATATAATAAGTTCCGTGCAAACAACTTTACAAAAGGGTCTGTTCTAGAAATTTACTCATAATCCATCTTACCTTATGATAAAGACGAGAACGATTTGATTTCCGCTTACAACAGCCGCATGTGCTGTTACAGTTCGTTCAGATTACTGAAATTGATAAAAACACGCCTTATATTTATTTATGGCCTGCATTAATATGTGAAGAACGTTTATCAATTAAAGTGTTTTCTTTTACGCTTAGAACACATTTCTTTACGTTCATATTAAACTTCGTTTAGAACTGAACACATACAATAAAAAATAATGTTTGCATTTTTTACCATAAACGGCAAAAACGATCAGCTGGGTAAACGAACTAAAATTATAACCTAAATACTTTCTTCAAATTCACGGCTACTGAAACATATGTATTCAACGCTTCCGTAAAAACATGTGGTAAATCGTACCTATTTATGTGGCATTTCTGTTACACAAAAATATCACTATCTTTTCAACACGCGAGATTAACCAAACTCCGCACGAACACATTAGAAAATGACATAATACCACAGGCTTCTTCTGGTCATGCAAGTTTATGGGTTGTTCAGAAACTATAAAATGATTAGGGTTGGATGAACTGTACGATATTCAGCTACAACTTTGCACTCAAGAAAGACTGTAAACGTCCATAACTGCATGTGAGTACAAAAACTGCTGTATCCATAAAGTTGTCATAGTAATTTGCAGTTTGCAAGTATGCAGTGGCTGGAAATTTAAACTGAAAAATTAAACTTTCGTCTGACTCCTGACATGTAGTATTGAACGGTATAGAACGGTATAGAAGGCTACGAATGAAAACATAAATTCTTCCACTAGGTGGCAGCATTTTACAATACGTCAATAATAACTGAGTGGGTTATCGTTATTTGTTGTAGTGTTTTACAATTTCATAAAGCTCGTTATTCGTGTGAAAGCCGTCAATTAATTACACTTGTAACTCAAACTATCAAAGACTGCACATAATTTTCTCTTACATGAGTACGATAATGCTATTTTAATCGCATTTTCCTAAAAGGTGTTTTGAGTCAGGAAGAAGAAAGGTGTGTGCGTGTGTTTTCGAGCATTCTTATTTGTTTCTCATTCCGAAATTTCAGTACCTTACATATTAGAATTAACTACACAATTCAGAATTTCCCAGACACTTCATTTCGGCTGCATTGCAGAACGCCGGATTCTTTGCTTTACATGATATTTGTTAATAAAAAACTTTCGCATCAGTAATTGTGTTTCCTTATATCCTTTACTTAATGCTGCTGTTTTGTAGCTCATCAGTCAGAAAATATGAATGAAGAACAACAGTTCTGCCTGCGATGGAATAACTTCCAAGCAAACATAACATCCCAATTTGAAGCCCTAAGGGATGAAGAAGACTTTGTCGATGTCACTTTGGCTTGTGATGGCCAGAGATTGAAAGCGCATAAAGTTGTTCTCTCTGCTTGCAGTCCATACTTCAAAGAACTCTTCAAAGTATGTAATGGTGTCTCAGTAAAAATTGTAAGTTAGTGGCTTCAATTGATATTGGTATGATGGGTCCAATAAAATGGAATTTAAGATGTGGCACCTGTTGTAAGAGTATATGTGTACTTCATCTGTTGCACGAACCATAATAACTATTCATTTAACTCATTCAACCATATATAAACCCTACTTTTCTTTGTCCGTCTTCATCAAATACAACATCCAGGATGCATCAAGATTACGGTCCTCTGAGCTGTGGCAGCATATAGTGTGGGAGATAAGTACAAATGTCCTGGAGGAACCTGCTGCCTGCATCTTCATAGTGGAAGACCAGGTTCCTCCAATACGCTGGCGCTTAACTTCCGTACTGTACGGCATCATGTCTCAGAGGACCTTATTCCTGATAGATATCAACATTAAAATCAGAAATCAAACATATGTAGTGACTATGTCTGGTATAAATAGAGTTATATGACAGAATGACTTGTGAAAGAATTCGTACTTTTGTACAGTGATGATTGTATGGACCTGACATAAGAATGGTTGGAGTCCAAACCTTTTCAAAGCATAATCCCATTGGCACTTATTTTCCGAAATATGGAAATGTTCCGTATAGAACATATAGCTGTGTTAGTCCATGACCACTTCTTTCCACAACCTTATTAATTTCGTATTCAGTATTTATTGTGCCACTGCACCCCAAATTGTGTGAACTACAGATACCATTGGTAAATAAACTTGTAAGCAAGAACATGCAGGCATGTTAATAATTTGCAGCGTATGAAATGACATACCCACAGCGGAAAGAGTTTGTTATATCTTCAGTTGCTATGTTACGGTTTACAGTATTTATTTACTCTCAAACTGATGTGTATTTTTAAGGGACACAACAGGCATTTGATGTTATACTTTGAATCAAAGTCATGTTACTTTCGTGTAACCTTGAAGTAAGTCTGTTGTGAGACCTGAGGATCTCATAGCTGTGAATATTAAGTTGTCTTTTGTGTTGGTACAAAATGTATTTCATAGAAAGTTTACAGACATTTATAAGCTCTTGTCATATTAAGTTCTACATAATATTTTAGTTCACACACACTAGCCACCACAGTCTATAAAACCCCTCCCCCCCAAAAGAGCCTCCAAGGAATATTACACATCACTGCCAACAATAATGCACCATAACAAATGGAACCAAGAAAGAATATAGAAAAAACATGTAGTGGATCATTTTAAAATTATTTTAAAAGGGATCCAGTTAGCTTTTAGGAAAAGAAAAGCTGTAGACTTTCATTTCTTACATACAATGAGGTACAGTATTACAATACAGTGTAACAATTGAAGGATTTATATATACCTCATGATAACCCCATATGGCCAAAACATGTAATATATATGAAACATGAGGTATATGATGTTTAACTGATGATCTACAAAGTGTTGCATTTACAAGACTGTATTGTGTATATATACGAGGGGGTACCCAAAAGAAACTGAACGTATTTTTTTTTAAACTTATTTATTCAAATTTTAAGCACAAACCTTCAATCCCCTTCAAAGTACTCCCCACTTACACTAATACACTTGTCTAGTCTTTTATTCCATTTTTCAAAACATTGTCTAAATTCATCTTTTGAGATACTTGACAGCGCCTCTGTCGTTTTTTCCTTCACCTCAGCAACAACAGCAAAACGCTTTCCTTTCATGTCTCTTTTCATTCGAGGAAACAAAAAAAGTTTTGGTCATTTCGGGACTCTTCTTTCAAAGCACAGCACGTGACCTTGTTTTTGTTCAGCAGTCAGCAGTCGTGGCACGAATTTCGCAGCCACCCTTTTCATTCCCAAATCTTCTGTCAAAATTCGCTGAACTGAGCTCCAAGTCACTCCCGACAGCTCCACAATTTCTTCAATGGTCCGTTGTCGATCTTCCTTGATGATTTCACGAATTTTTTCAACATTTTCATGTGTTCGGGCCGTGGAAGGACGACCAGAACGAGGTTTGTCATCAGTTGACATTTCACCATTTTTGAAAAGGGAAAACCACTCAAACACTTGAGTTTTCCCCATAGCATCGTCCTTGTATGCCGTTTTTAACATTTCAAGAGTTTCTGTTCCACTTTTCCCGAGCAAAAAGCAGAATTTCACCACCGCACGCTGTTCACGAAAATCAGCCATTGCAAAAACGACGATCACACAAAACAGTTGTCACTGTAAACTCTGCCGAAACTAGTCCTTACCTTCTGAAGCAACGGTAGTGGGCTTATCGACTCAGGAATGTTAGCTCTATGCGCTCATAGCGGCAAAACGCGCTACTACAAAAGCTCTGTCCACAAAAAAATTAGTTTGGTTTCTTTTGGGTACCCCATCGTATTTGGTGTTACATAGTCTAGCTTTGGTGATCATGAAACAGAATTGTTTCACCTGCTGGCCATGTTGTTCATTGCATTTGGATACAGTAACGACCATAACAGAGGTTGCAACTTTTAAGAAATATATTATCATATGTCACATTCAGTGGTCCTTGTTTTGTTCAAAGATCTGTAGCCATTCTGAATCACCATCATCATGAATAAGTATGTATATGAGTAAGCACTGAAGATGATGTCAGAGATCAAAATGTGTTTGCAAGATAAGTGATGAAGGATATTATTGTGGTAGGATAAATAAAAAGAAATACAACCAGAAATGAATGCAGTTAAGATCAGTTATAAATGAGTTTTGTGAATATAAGTCAGACCATTCAGGAGTTATCTCAAGTTTGCGGCAGGGACATATGCATCATCCTGTAAATCCATACCCTCTAAACAGACAGTCAAAATGGAATTGTTGAATTTGTTTGAGATTTTCATACTAATTAATATTAAGATTATGGCCTTATAGCAGCATTCTGGGGGAACTTAGTTACCAAACTACATAGCAGTGCATCCCGGAAGATTATATAATCTTGAATTTGTTTCCTTTGTATGTTCGATATGAGAATGAAATTTTGTCTCTCTTAGAAAGAAATGTAAATTGAGGATGTTTGAGAAGAAGGTAGAGGTAACAAGAGGTCTGAGAAAAATTTGAAGGATGGGCTTCATAATTTGTACTCATCAGCACTATTAGGGTGATTATACAAGGGATGGACAAAAATATGGAAACACCTCGTGAAGTGCATGCCTGAATTGAAGTGTTTATTTTAGCGACGTTTGTAGGTCATGCTGTCGTATCTGCCCAACACCACTCCCTGTACAACCTCCGCAATATGTTGCAAGCTTCATTTGTTGTCGAGACAGTGTTCTGTGCAGTTTTTTGTGCATCACGTCAGAGCTAACAGAATTCGAATGGGGACAAATTGTTGGGGCCAATATGGTGGGTGCTTCCGTAACCAAGGTAGCCGAGGTTTTTGGTGTATCGCGAGGCACAGTATCCAAGATTATGACCGCATACAGGAGGACTGAAGAAATGACATCCGATAAACACCAGTGTGGACGGAAATGTGTGTTGAGTGATCGAGACAGACGAACATTGCATAAGATTGTGATGAAAAATAAGAAGACTACAGCTGCAAAAGTGACTGCTGAACTGAATGTCATGCTCACAAACCCTGTCAGCACCAAAACAGTATGAAGGGAACTCCACAAGCAGGGTATTTCTGGACGAGCTGCAATTCCAAAGTCACTCATCAGTGATCAAAATGCCACTAAGAGGAGAGTGTGGTGCCAAAGTCATAAAACCTGGACTGTGGAGCAATGGAAGATGATCATTTGGTCGGATGAGTCCACCTTCACACTGTTTCCGACTTCTGGCCAAATTTACGTCTGGAGAACGCCATCCCTAGCTTACGACCCAGACTGCTGCCAAGAGTGAAACATGGCGGGGGTTCGATCATGGTACGGGCAGCCATATTGTGGTATTCTGTCAGACCCATCATTACCCTGCAAGGTCTCGTCACTGCCAACAACTGTGTGAACATTTTGGGCAACCAGGTCCATTCCAAGGTGCAAATTTTCTTCCCCAATGGTGATGTCGTTTACCAAGACAACAGTGCCTGTGTTCACACAGCTCACATCGTCCAGGACTGGTTTTCTGAGCACGAAGATGAAGTGTCACATCTGCCATGGCCCCCACAATCGCCACATATCAATATTATTGAGCCTTTGTGGTCTGTTTTGGAGAGCAATCTGCGTGCACACTATCCACCTCCATCATTGATAACAGAACTTACCATGTTTTTCAGGAAGAATGGTACAAGATTCCCTTGCAAATCATACAGGACCTCTATTTATCCATTCCAAGGAGACTGCAAGCAGTTCTGCAAGCCAGAGGTTGTCCTACACCATATTAGTCATGGTGATGTGTTTTTTGTTGGGTGTTTCCATATTTTTGTCCATCCCCTGTATCAACGACATTGAGATGGGTGGGAAATGTAGTATGCATGAAGGGTATGATGAATGCAATGAAGTATCTGGCTGGAAAACTTCATAAGAAGATCACTTGCAAGACCTAGTCATAGATGGAAGGGTCCTATAACAGGAATAAGATGTGAGGGTGTGAACTGGGTTCAAGTAACTAAATATAAAATGTGATCACAGGCTCTTTTGAGAATGATATTGAACTATTGAGTTCCATAAGAGTGATGAGTTTCCTGACCAGCTGAGTAAGGGTGACATTGGCAAGAAAGAATCGAGTTACACAGTTCAGTAGGATATTTAATGACACTGTCAGTAAAGAAAAAGCTATCTCTGTAACAGGCTCTGGAGGCCCATGGGGTTGTGAGACGTTCAGGCTCCCACATTTTCTAGATAGTTGACTCACGGATGGCAACGAGGTTGTCAACCTTATGCACTAGCCGCCCTTTAGCCCCAGAAAGATTCCTGGTGCTCATTTCTGTTAGAGGCTGAGATGACACCAGTGCCATAATGCAGTTGGAAGGATTAGATCAATTGAAAAAGTCACTGACCTCATCAGGGTTCAGACCTGTGACGTTCCAGTTTGTAACAGTGTTTAAACCAACTGTGCTACCACATGTCCCGCAATGACACACTCAGTATCAGGGCTACGTAGTGCTGATAGATAGTTCAGAATTCTCATGTAGTAATATGTTGCTGGATTCTTTTTTCAGAGCAATCCATGTAAGCATCCAATCTTGTTCCTACGAGATGTGGCATTTCATCATCTGCGTGCATTGGTTGAGTTCATGTACGCAGGTGAAGTTAATGTCGCACAAGCACAGCTGACAGCCTTCCTACGAACAGCAGAATCTCTGCAGATCAGAGGACTGACAGAAGCTCCACAGAGGCATAAGCAGGCTCATATCAAAGTAAGTTATTACAGGGGTTGGTGACCGCACATCCATTGTTTTCAGTTGTGACAAATTCAACAGCTCAGTGAGCAGAAACCAAAAAATGTTGGTCTATGTTTTTTTTTTTTGGGTGAACAATATGTACATCTGTCTACCAGATTTTTAAAATTTTGTTCATCCCTGATCATAATGTTCATGAACTAAGGTATGCCCATGTTGTAGCAACAGCTCCATCATCATCAGCAGCAGCAGTCAAGTGTTCCATCAGATGTAACAGCATCAGCTGGCCTTGACTCCAGTTCAGCTGCAGAGGATATTGCATCATCTCCAGAGTGTGTGGGCATTGATGAGGATGAGGATGCTTTAAGCCTGAGTCCTGGTGATGGGTCATCACCAAACCCAGCCAAGCGACAGTGCCTACAGCAGGATAGTGGTGATGCCTTACATCAGCGCACCCAGACTTCGACATCATCATCCCATTCTGACCTTAGACAGGAACTGGAGGCTGTAACAAAAGACAATCCAGCAGACATTGTAGAGGTCAGCTGCACTCTAACATGTGATATAGGAGGGTATTCTGAAACTTATGATAGGTCTGTGATAGAAAGCAGACTGACTGGTGTTAAGAGATGCAACTGCTCAAGGTTTTTAAACATTTCCATGTCTATGTATTTTGCTGCATATTTAGCATACTGACTCACCACTTTGTACAAATACATGCCATGGCATAGTATGTTTATTTTAGGCATGTTCAAGAAGGACATTTTCAGTTTGAGAAGAGATCAAAATGAGAAATGGAAACATTTTGAGAACCAAGACAAGAACAACAGTTTTCTCTAGTAATCATTGTTGTCACTATAATAATTTATAACTGCAGTCACTCTTTCAGTCTGCTGTTGCAAAAAAAAAAAGTAATGCCATCCCTGTAAAAGGCCATGAAGCCCCATAGGGTTGTGAGATGTTGAGGGTCCCACATTATCTAGACAGTCGGCTCAAAGATGGCTGTAAGGTTGTCAGCCTTATGCGCCGGCCACGCTTTACTCCCCAGGAAACTTATTTAATTAATTCCTGGTACTCATTTCTGTTAGAGGCTGAGTCGATCCCAGGGCCATAGTAAGGCTGGAAGGATTAGGTCAATTGAAAAAATCCAATGACCTCATCGGGACTTGAACCCGCGACCTTCCAGCTTGTAGCATAGCCCCTCAACCAACTATATCAGTTTGCTGTTGTATTTAGCTAAATTACAGATGATTCCAAATGTAATAAGACCACACATTAGGAAATGCGTGCACATAAGAGAAGTAATGTCATTAATTAATTTCATTCTCTTACTACAAACATGTAAAAAAAAAATAGAAAACATATTGCGCATGACATTGCATTAGTTTCCTTCTTGAAGTCTCTAGCCTTTATTCTGCCTCACCAGCCTTTATTCAGCATTCCTGTCACGTCTCATGTTCACTGACAACATTCCCATCTTCCTCATCCTCGCTGCCACTTTATTTAGGCATAAGGCACTTTTTATAATATGTCCTTTGACTCTCACATCTGGAGAGATCTGCTGGCATGCTGTCTTGATCCATTGTCATGGCAGTTCTACACTGGGCTTCTTTGTTTTCCAACTGCTGTCAGAGCATGGTCCTCTGCTAAGAGCCATTTGGAATAAAGTTTCAGATCTAAAAAATGTTGTTCACTGGAATGTCTAGTTGTGTTCATCCCTCAGTTATGACCACAAAGTCAGTATTCACTGCATGAATCACAGAATCTGGTATCCAATATTAAACATAATTTTAGAATATCCAGCACAAATATTCCTTCTTTCTGAATATTATTCTTGGTTACAGACCACTAGTAACCAGTCCTTATCAGTTAATTTAGTCGTTCATTTCTTAGTTTTACAGAAGATTGTTAGTTCCATAAGCAGCTATGCCTAAATCATAGGTTTCAGTTCAGAATTAGATATGGTGGTTGTTTTATGTTGTCTGTGAACTCTGTTAACACTGCAGTCAGCCATATTGTTTCATTATCAGATGTTTGGGACAACATATAATACTTGGCATAATTTCCTGGTTCTCTTGTTTCTACCTTCAGATGTTTGCCTCAGGAGAGACTGTATTTTCTTGTTGCTTCACTATTGTTTATTCTGCATGTTTAAATCACCACATTTGTAAAGTACAAATTGTACTTTTTTTTTTGACATAATATTCCCTTTCACATTGCTGTCTCTTTCCTTAGTATGATATCCAACTTTTGGTGAGGGACATTTGTGTTAGTGCTGAATTTCATGATGTAAATCAGTGAAGTACTATGTTTCTTTCCTCACTTTGTCCTTTGGGCAATTTGGCAGTAGTCTGTGGTTTCTAACCTTGAAACATACTTCTATCTCTCTCACTTGCTACTCTCATGGCATTATAGCACAAATTATGCAATTAGAACATAAAAAAGCATAGAATGGAATAGAAATAACTGATTTGTGTTAGATGTGTCCATGTGAATAAGTGCATGCATTTATTTATCCCTTAAATTCACGATGGATAGTTCTGTAGTTCTTAAAAGAGAATATTCAACAATTTTGATATCAGACTCATACATGTAAAGCAAAAGTAGTCAACAGAAAATTCTCAAAGCTCGAGACTGGAGAATGAACATTCAAATCAAGATGAAGACCTTTTTTCCCCTCCCTGATTCATCTCAAAAAAGTTTGAGACTTGCACATGCCTGATTTATTTAACTTAATTTCATGCTATCCATAATTAATGTATTGTTTGCATGTGCAGCCAAAGCTGGAGCTTCCAGACTACACCAGTGATGGGGACAGCAAGGCGGGTGCAGCAGCTTTCCTGGGGCTAGACTCAAACTCTATTGATGTTAATGCTTCTTTTGCAGCAGCATTACATGGTAAGTGGCATGCAAAGTAGGTTCTCGTAGATGGTAAAATTTTCATATTTAAAATGGTTATGTGTGTGTTTATTCTGCACTTACATTGCATTCACCTGTTTTATGGTGTTAGTGCAGCATATTTTAGCCAACATGCAGCCATCAGGTATGAATGAATGTACAAGGGGTGGGCCCTCTTGGCCCTTGCACCACGACCACAGTGATCTATTGTGCCTACATTAATTCACATAACTGCCATATTGCTATTATTTAGTTTTGGAAATTCAGAAAGAAGAGGCATAGTGGCCCTTAGTAATGTACAAAGTTTAATAAAAATGCATCATTTGATTTATTTATTATTATTATATTATTATTATTATTATTATTATTAGGCTACAATGAATGCATAGACTTCTTGATACCAAAAGCCTAAATTTCCTAACAATAAAGAAAATAGCAGAATTTTTGTGTATGGCATGGTTTCCCTCTCAGAAAAGTACGACTCCCTGGAAAGGAGTACAGTGTTCGTACATTCAGAGTAGTCACTAATATATTATAGATATTTGTATGTAATGAAATGGGTAATAAAGGATAATGGCTTTGAGTCTTATGTGTATTAATTGAACCCTCCATAAGTATCTGTGCTGGTGAAATTTTAATGTGGCTCTACAAAGACAACAAAATATCTGTACCCACAGTTATGCTTTAAGGGATGAAAGAAGGTAAGAGCATACAGAAAAACAGATGCGTAAGAAATGAGGTGAGATGTTGTTCATACAGGACTCTCCTGAAGTGTGAGTATTTGACTTACAACCTTCTGTACACATGAAAGAAGCTATTACTATTCAGTACTTTGGTCATACGTATAAACTGGTCATTGAGACATGGCTGCCAAAATGATACATATGAAGCAAATGAGTGACCTGAACTTCCTTAAATATAGGATCATCTTGTCTTAAGGTTTGCATTCTCTCCAGAGATGTCTCAAAAGCAGCTGCCCATATTCCTATAAGAGAAGTGACTCAAAGAGATCAGCGATTTCAATCTCTGAAACCCTTGAAATTGCCTTGGAGTCGCCATGGCATCTCCAGAAGATTCTACAGCTTTCTGATACCCCAATCAGACAGGTCTGTCCTCAAGAAATGCCACTTCCAATAAGGAAGGCAGTGTGGATAATTTAAGTAACTAATTGAAAATGCTCTGTTATTTACTTTGTTTGGTTTTCTGTATTCTTTCATTAATGGTGTTACAAGAGCGTGGCATTTTGCTATTAGATGTTTGAATTGTTCAGCTTAATTATGTGTTAAATTAATTATTATGAAGTGGTTTGGGAAAATAATCATTTATAAGAAATCAGATTCATACATCTACACAAAGATGAACAAAATTGTGGAGTGTCACCTGTTCTGACATAGAGATTTCTTGTTTTAGCTGCTTCATCAGCCTGCTGAAGGCTTTGCTTATTTAGGAAATGTTGCAAATGTAAAATCAATCCCTTGAGAGAAATTCCAGAATATAATTATGTGAAATATGAATGATCTCTATAATTCTTTAATTTGTTTTCCTGTGATTGTATTTGCATTTTAGGAGGGGGAATGGATATCCTACCTGGACCTTCAGGGCAGAGCTTCCTGGGAGAACCTTCAGGAAGTCTGGATTCTGGGCAAGGTAAGATTCTTCATTTTAAGTTTGGCAGATGGAAGACAGGGTGGCAGGGTCCTGGTGGGGTGCAGTTTGTGAACGGTGGTCTGAGTGGGTGGGTAGGGAGATGTTGGGATGGGAAGTCTGTGCACCAGATATTTTCCAGTTCTTCTAGCACTGAACATATTCATTATCTATGGAAAACGTTATTCTTGGATAGTGGTATGCAGAAGCCAGACTGTTGTATGTTGCATGCAATCAGTTGATGGTTTTCTGCGCCTCTGTATCTGCAATTGTAGCTGGATGTTGTGACAAGAATTTATTTTAAGAAGAGGAACTGAATATCTCCTGTGCACAGTCTTCCTGTGTAGTGGTACACAGTTATTACAGTTTGTGATATCCTTATTCACATGCAACTTAGCTTTCAGGCTGAGTGGTACCTTGTGAATATGGCTTGAAGTTGCAGAACTGTTTTAACGTATCCCACTGACAATGGAAGGAAAGTAACTAAAAAATTAGAGCACAATTCATATTTAGTGAAGTAAAGAGAAGAATAGTGTCAAACTTCTAAATCCATTCAGTTAAAGAAACGCATTGCGTTATTCTTTGTTACTTGTTACAGTGGACCATCGCAAACTGCACTCGCTGGACCCGCGCCCCTGCCCAATCTGCAACCGCATGTACAGTAACCTGTCGAACCTCCGTCAGCACGTTCGCCTGATCCACAACCCCCAAACCGTGGCTTGTCCTCTCTGCAGCAAGCCATTCAAGACCAAGCTCTATCTCAAGCGCCACCTCATGAGCTTCCATGAACTACTGTGTGGTAATCTGGGTCCTGGTGGGGTTCAAGGAGGTTCCAAACAGGGTGGTGAATTCTATCCTCCACCACCTCAAGTATTCCTGGGGCCCCATCCTGTGGGTGAGGAAGAAGAACGCAAGAGAAATCCTGAGGGCGTGTCAAAGGGCAAAGACCATCAAAACCTTGAGATATTTCATGTTTCACGGGCAACCATGTTGCATGCATCATTACCGCAGTCTAGCCGTGATGAAAAATCTGGAACTCATAATGCAGGAAAGAGCAAGGATTCACCTACACAGCCAGAAGTGTTCCATCACAGAAGTTTCAATAATGCCCTGCATCATGTAAGAAGTCATGAAGACAAACCAAATACCCATACCCCAATTAAAGGCAAACATAATAACCCCAATATAGACCTGTTTCAGATGCCACATATTTTCCAGAGCATTATTACATCTTCATCAAACAGCGAAGATAATAAAAGTAATTTCGTGAGCTCATCAAGCACTTCACAACATTCCAAGAATAAAGAGAGTCAACTTTCTGGTCGAAATTTTCAGAGTGATGAAGAGAAAGATGGTTTTTTCTTAAAGAATAAAGGTGTGCAAGAAGAACATAATCCGAATTTCTTTCAGTCCACTGGAAGTTTTCCAAGTGCCTCACAAGCACAAATCACCAGTGAAGAAAAAGTGAATCATTTTCTTACCCCATCCTCTCTTCATACAAAGAATAAAGATCTTACACATCCAGATTTGTACCATGCAGGTCGAAACTTCAGTAATAATAACGAGGACAGAGGTATTTACATCAGTTCATCTGTTGATAAGGAAGTAGCAGCTGCAGCATACGCATCTCAAAACCACAAACAGAATCAAGGTTTTATAAACTCTTCTCAGACTCAAATCCACAATAAAATAGCTAACAGTGGTGATTTTCATTCTCCTAAGAATGAAGAAAGCCCATCAACGTGTACTAATTTTCTGGGTTCTGTCTCTCTCACAAGTAATGATAGTGCAAGATTGGCACTTCTGACACAACCCTTACCGGCATCTGCTACGGAAGGATTGTCATTCCTCAACCAGCAGTCGAGTGGCAGCCAAGATACACCAGCTTTCCTGAATGACTCATATTCACATCCCAAACGTGGACAATCCGAGTCATCAATGGAGACTGAGTCCTTGAATCACAAACCAAACAATTAGATTAACCAAATTATGATATTTTATAGCTCCTTCACACCATTACCGCAAAATTCACCATCACTGAAATCAGAGACATGATTTTGCCTTTTGAAGGCAAAAATTCTTATAGTCACAGAGGCAACAAAAGCTATTAGTCATCACATACTTACTGATCTTTCAGGAAGATGTGATAATGTCTTCTGCTGTTTTAAAATTTGTGCTTATAGCTTCACATACATTTCTATTCATATATATTCATAGCAGAAGGGGCTGAAACAGGTGGGTAGCTAAAATGCTCAGTGACTCTAGTGAAATCAGAAAGAATAGAACCAGCGAAGCCAAATACCAACTTCTTCCCTAACTGCTCTTCAGCTGTATAAAAATCTATGTCCCGCATATCAGCATTTTATTCAGGAATCAATTAAGCTAATAAATTATAAATTTTATATAGCTGTTTGATTCTGATATTTATGTTTAATATGTATTAATATCACTGTGATGTAATCAATATGTTTTGTTTAGAAAAGAAGAATTGACAGGATAAATTACTTGAGAAAAAAACAAGAAGAAACAGTCCCCCTTGTTAACAGTAGTGAAGAATTCATGCAACTTTATGTACTTGTTCTAAAAAATTTTACTAAAATAATGTACAAGCTAGTGGATGACAGTTAGTGATATTATTAGAGCTAATCCAGTCTGTGTCAGTCGAGCTTTGCTATCCGCACTTTGCAGTTTCGCTGAAGTGGTGCTGGGCTTAACAAGAGTGAAATTTGTGATTAGCAAACACAAATCTAATAAAATGTAATTGTGAAGCTGTCCCTTTACTGAAAAACCACGCCATGAAGTCATATGGGAGCATAAGACTGAATGTCCTTGCATTCTTAACATTTGTACTAGTTGAAGGTGGGAACCAGTATAGTGCAGTCAATATAGCTGCATGCTGGATGACCTGGGTTTCATTACTTTAAGGGCAAGAGATTTTTCTGTGCCCCATAGTTTTCAGATTGGTTGTGGGGCCCACCCAGCCTCCTATAAAATTGGTACTGGGGACTCTTTCCTCGAGGTTAAAGTGGCTGAGTTGTGAAGCTGATTGCTCATCTCCATCTAGTTCCAAGCTCAAGAATGAGGGAGCAATATTTCCACTCTCCCACACATCTTCATGGTATTGTGCTTAATTAAACACACGGACAACTTTACCTGTTTTTACCAGGTAAAGATGATTGTTCAGCTTCTCGCTCCACCACTTTATCCTTCAAAATAAATCTCCCTGTACCCAGTGCATAGAGGACTCTGGGGCCCCATAGTTAATCTCAACATGGAACATCATGGTAAAGAAAAAAAAAACCACTGCTATAGCTGAGAACTTAATCTTGATTTTCCAGTTACCAACGGTAATTTAATAACATTGTTAGATGTACAGTATTGCTAGCATTATAATATATGACAGGTTCAAGTGAAAGCAATCTTTATGCAGCTGTCTCTCTGTGGGACAAACCTTCACTCACTCTCCCACTTATTTCATTGCAACATTTCTTAATGGAGTTGGTATTTATGAGGGAGAGTCAGTAAATGAGTCACAAATTGATATACTACTACAGTCAATAATTTTGTGCACTGTGATTCAGTCGCAGCATGTTACAAGGTACTCACGCGTAAACATATCCATATCATCCCTCAAAATTGTCTTTGTTGGCTGCTGTGCAAGTCTGCCAATGTTGGTATAGCTGCTGGAAACAGTGCTGAAAGATATTTGCAGGAAGGTTCCGTACAGCTTCCCTTGTGGCAGTGACAGTCTCCTTGGCTGACTGAAATTGATGACTGTAGCTTTTCTCTCAAGTGGGGAAAGAAGAAGAAATTGCATAGTGCAAGATCAGGGTGTGGCAGAACAGTGACCTGTTGTTTTGGCAGCTCCTCTTGAACAAGCACAGAGCGATGTGCAGGGACATTGTCATGTAGCAACAGTCAGTTCTTCCTGTACCAAAGCTCAGGACGCTTAATGACAAATTGAATTGTGTAAATGGTGAAGGATCTCCTTGGAGTGGTGCTTGTTTACAGTCGCTCCTTCTGGGATGAATTACATTTGAACAATTCTAGAAGAGTTGAAAAACAATTCAAGCATTACCTTGCCTTTTGACCTGTCCTGTCACAGTTTTTTATTTCTTGGAGATGATGGCTATTTTGAGGTGGCCAATTGTCGATTCAGTTGCAGATTGTACAGAAAACACCATGTTCGTCTCCTGTCATGATCCCGTTCAGAAACATCTCGTCTTTGTGATCAGTATCAATCAGGTCACTGCAAATGCTCATACAATTGTCACATTGGTCTTGTGTCAGGACGTGTGGAACACTGTGTTGGGTAACATGAGACATGTTCAGGTCATCACACAGAATTTTGTGGCAAGTACCATGGGTAATCCCTGCTGCTGCTGCTGCTGTAATTTCATCTACCGTTTGAGAGCAGTTGACATGCACCAGCATTGCAACTTCTTGGATCTTGAGTTCAATTCTGACTGTTCTTGACCAACCAGTATGCTCATCAACTTCCAAACTATCTGTCCCCTGTGCAAAACGTTTGTGCCACTTAAACACAGCTCTGTGGTCCAAGTCTTTTTGACTGTACACTTGCTTGATCATGTGAAACATTTTGCTAGTGGATTTGCCTAATTTTTGGCAGAACTTGGCGTTTTCCTGTTGCTCAAACTACGACCTTCTCGTTTTCCACTGCTCACAGACAGCTACCCTTCACAACAGTGACTTTCTTTCAGAATACACCGCATGGACACAGCGCCATCTTGTGGCTCCACTTGTCCATTGTAGTGCATGAGAGTGCCCTCTATGTGGCCAGTCCATGAAATTATTGACTGTACTGTGTAATACATCAAATGTGATATTTGAACCTGGGAAAAACATTTATTTCTCGACATGTCCACCAACTTTGCTACACCTGTCCCAACGTTTTACCGGCATAGTGAAACCTGCAGCATAGAAGTCTTTTGACTGTAGGCTCTGCCACTTCTGCACTTCCATTTCCATCTCTTGGTCATCAGCAAAAGATTTGCCACCAAGGTGGAACTGCTTTATGTGACAAACACTTCCCACTGTAAACAGAAAACATTTCTGTATGAATAGTCTTTGCATTGAACCCTTTTGCCCACAAAAGACATGCAACAGAACAGTGTTCGTCAGTAGCATACTCCTCAAGCATGGTCACCATTTTGACTACCAAAACCAGTCTCTGAGCCTGCGCATGCCCCTTTGCTACCTAAACTATCTTGAAGCTGGACTGTGCTGCTACCTAGTGATACACATATATAACGTCCATTACAGCTGTTATACTTCCATTGTGACCTATTTACTGACTGTCCCACAAATAGCATGTAGCTGGTTGTCTTCTGATTGCAGTATTAGAACACTTTAAACATGTGAGTTCTTTTAGCATGGGGAATTATTTTCATGATGCATACATAAAACATGACAGAAAGTAAGGGTGGATGTCTTACTAAACATTTGGAGTTTACAAAACGTGTACAAGTTCTGCACGGAAAAATACAAATATGAACAGCATCATGATTATGTGAGGCAACATTATGGTGTATGTTCACAGGGGTCAACAAATATTGGCTGAATTCACCTTTTAGGTAAAAATTCTGCTCTTGAAGTGTTTTTACCCAGCACAGGCCACCACCGATGCCATTGTAGTTGCTCCACATAAGATATCATTTACTGTTTGACTTCTGTGGAGAAATAAAAAAAGAAAGTAGAAGAGAATAATGAATAAATTCAAGAATTCATTTATCATTGTTAAGCAGATAAGTAGTTTGTTGAGCCCTGTATATGCATCCGATTGAAGTGTTTGATGATTAGAGACCAAATAAGGGGTGAAACTTTTGAGGTAGCAATCAACCTCACAGTGTCTGAGTGTCGTTATTTTGTTATATTTAATCTGACTCTTCTGAGTGTGCAATAGAGTATATTGTAGTTAACATTTCAGGAACTGGCTTAATTACCAGTAAGTTTTATCTAGGCACTTTCATTATTGATTGTAGTTAGAGTCATAATTGAAGAATTTTCATGAAGTTTCAGAGCTAACCAAAAAGTATCTCCATTTATAGGTAACAGTTTAGTGAAATCTCTGTTAACTCGCTGGTACAATTTGACAGCTGCTGGATGTATACCTATTCAGTGAATGGAAAAATAACCACAAAGAAACTGAAACGTCTTGGTTATTGGCCAGACTGTACAGAAGCGTTGTAGGTTTGAGCATTCAGTTTGAAGTCTTTGAATTAGTTTTATGTAGCTTTTTTGACCAGACCAAATTAAGCAGTGCTCCAAGGTGCTTGCATTTGTGTGCATGCATGCATGCCCCCCCCCAACACACACACACACACACAAAGTATGTTTTTGAACAATTTAAATATTTTTAATTGTAAATACAAATAGTCATGGTTTCTTTTGAGTTTCCCATTCTCAATAAGCCAGTGATGGTCCCTGAATTGGATATTTCTTAGAACATAACCAGCAGATGTTGCATATATATATTTTGTATTAGTTTTATAAAACCATATCAAACCTCAAGTGAGGCCAATGAACCATGATTCAAACTGTCACTTTTCTGTGAATGACTTCATCTTTATGGACTGCTACAGTTTTGTGTGGTGATAATAAGAATGTGCATTAGACTTATGAAATGGCGAATGAACTTGCATACTGTTTGATATTGTTTCCTGGGAAGAACCGTTCCTTAAAAATACTTCTTCAAACTGTGTGAGATTTGAGATTCTGACTGAAGTATTCTGAAAAGTAATACCATAGGGTCTGATAGAAGGTTGCCAATGTATCAGCGGAATATGTAGCCACCATCTTTTACCATACATGACATCACATCCCAGAAAACCACAGACTTGAACATCCCTTGTAATTCTTCATATTGCTTTTAAGTTGTGAACATAGATTCTTCTATTCTGTCAGTAGATGAAATGAAAGTGGAACACTATCTGTTAAGCAGAATTTACACTGTATTATCCACACTTTCACAAAGTCTTCGTTTGATAGCTATATGCCTTTCCCATTCTGATTGGTGGATGTGTTGACTGTGGGAATATTGATCAGGTTGCAAGTCAATTTCAAAGTCATTTGACAATACTGAGAAAAGTGTCACTAAAAATTACTTTTGGTGGCCACAAATCCATTAATTGTAACATGGATTTCTTCACGGCTTTGTGATCTAATAGTCATCAATACCGACATTTTGCCTTGAAAATTTTCTGAAACTGTAGCAAGCCAGCCCACCACAGCATTGTGTCAGTCACCGAGGAACAGAAGCAGGACTAGTTATAAAACGTTCTCTAGAGGCTGAAGATTTCTACAGTGTGCAAATATTGAGTTCATTCCATAAGTTTTGCTGTATGATAGATTACTGCTGTGGATGTTTGTAAGTCGGATATATTAGTAAACCCTTTAACTTCATGCCATGCCAGCCCCCATTGTTTTATTATTATTATTGTATGATTCAGAAAGCTTCTACAGTTCCATGGGTAGAATTGCATTATACTTCATCTGCAGGTACCCACAATCGTCTCTAAAATTGGCTGATTAGGAAGTCATTGGTGTCATTGCTACACCAATTGTATCAGTGAAAAAGTTGATGGCTGGAGGAAGTGACTTAAATCTTGGTTTATGGCCTCACACCACTACTGATAAAGGGAGGCTTGACTATCAATATTCTGATAATCACCACCTTCCATTATCTTCTGCAATAGATAGACAGACATACAGACATGCATCTCAGGTTTCTCATTAGTATAATAGTGTCTTGTTTACAGATGTATCTTTTGTGTGTGAATAGTTTGATTTAGATAAGTAGCACCCGGGTGGCAAGTTCTTGTCTTGCCTGTAAATGTTAACTGCTTGTGACAGAATCACCAATAAGCCAGTGCTGCCATATAGCAGCATCAAGCAGTCCAATGAGGGAACTTTTTGTAACAGCCTGTAGAAATGTTAGGTGTACCAAATTTTATAGTCCCTGAAAACCAATTTGTCTGGGTGTGGAGTTAAATTATGATCCTTAGCTCCAAAATTTAGTTCAAAATGACCTTTATTGTACCCTTGCCAAGATGGTTTCAACACTGTATGTTACTGTTCTACTTGGTCCAGCATTGAGGCAGCCATGACATTCTTTTCTGCTACAAATTTAGCTCTTAGGAGGATTGCGGCCCTCTACCATTGGAGTTTGTTCAGTAGCAATTTGAATTCATCAATGGAGATTTTTATATCCTGTTGATACAGACCACTTCAAGAGGCTATAAACACTAGTTAGAATGTTTACAGAGAAGAAAATCAAAATTAACTTTGACTAGAGTGCTGCAACACATGCAACAATGTGATAGGGAGCATTTAAGAGTCAAGAAGTTTTCCTAGAGCTAAAAGAGGAATCCAAAAATAAATTGGATCATCCAGTCATCCCTTCATGATACTTGTTTTTGTGTGTTAAACCATGCATCCACTTTAAGAAGGCTGTGATATTAGTTACACTTCTAAACAAGACATTGTCACACTGTTTGCTTACAGGTCAGTTGCTGATGCTAAGAATTCCTATAGATGATATCCTTGTTTGAACTGGATGTATTGTTACAGTGCTTAACCCTTTCTTGTCCTTTGTCAGAAGTCTTCTGACGTTTTCTTGCACAAGACCACTGTCAGAATTCTCCTGCCACAAACTTTTTATATCTATCACAACATGATGATTGGTGAGTGTTGTTGTATCTTTATAGAGTTTACATTCTTTGACATTTCTTCTAATAGTTCACAACAGAAGGCAGGGATTTTTATTTTCCAATACTGAAACATCTTTTTTTAATTTTCGAGCAAATTAATATGTATCTGGTATGAGTGAAATTGAAAGTAGAAAAGACAGGGAAAAGTTAACCTTTTTATATTTGCCGCAAGATTGGGTCAGTTACATTTGACAGTATTTATTTGTTGAGATAGGCAGTGTGTATTGTTTATCAATTATATTTCTTCTACATGTTATTCATGTTGTAGCTTAATACACTGCAGTTGTCTGAGAGCTTCTTTCATATTTTTGAGCTGTGTGCGTGTGACTCCTCTTACTGGGTGGCTGAATGATATATGTGAAGCTCACAGATTATCACTGTACAGTAGCATGTTTAGAAGGACTGGAAACTTTTGTATATTGTATATACAGTAGTCACATGATACCTAGTCAGTTTGGTACCAGGGATGCCATCTTTACCCAAATACTTTGTCAGAGACAGCTGTAAAATGAAGGAATATTTTTTTTTCATTTTATGTAATTATCTAGACCACCTCTGTGGTCTAGTGGTCAGCTTTCCTCGCTACAGATCCAGAGGTCTGGGTTCAATTCCTGGTGTTACTAGATTTTTTCTGAGAAGTAATGGGTCTGGAACAGGGTCCACTCAGCCTCGTGATGATAATTGAGGAGTTATTAGAAAACCGAAATTAACGACCGTGGGGATTTGTTGCGCTGACCATGCGACACCCTCTTATCTGCAAAAGTTGGCACTAAACTTCGCCAACAAGTGGCAGTCGCTTGGTTGGTATAGTTCGTTTGCAGACTAAAATCACAGTTTTTTTATGTAATTATCTAACAGCATGGTGTGTTATATAAGCTGTTAGCGTTTTCATAAGAACATTCACTTGAGGTAGAAAGGAACTCAGAAATGGGTTTATATAGTGTTTGTGCATGAACAAGCTGATGTACACTGTGTTTCCCTCAGAACTTCTTATTCAGACTCTCTCTGAGGGAGACCAGTTTTCATGTCCATGTAAAACAATGAGTAAAATTATGTAACCAATGTCATAATATTTTGGAAAGATTAACACTTGTCTGGAAGATTGAGCATTTATCCCACAGTACCTTATGCTTGCTACCCTGGACACACACATTATGAACTTGCAAAGGAATTAATTTTGTGTTCATTCTGTCCTTCAACTTGAGACATCATGTTTATTAATTCACTATGTAAACTTGACGTAATGAGTTTCGTACAGATTTTTAAACACTTGTCTTGTGTCTGTAAAAAGTGTATATGTTTGGAAAGAAGACAGTGACGTACAA